ACCCCACGCCAGAGCAGGTGGATGTGCCCGAAGGAGGCTGTGACCCATACAGAGAGAGGAGCCCATGCTGGAGCAGGTTTGCTGGCAGGACTTGTGACCCTGCGGGGGACCCACGCTGGAGCAGGCTGCTCCTGAAGGACGGCACCCCATGGAAGGGACCCATGCTGAAGCAGTTCATGAAGAACTGTAGCCCATGGGAAGGACCCACGTTGGAGCAGTTCATGGAGGACTGTCTCCTGTGGGCGGGACGCCACGCTGGAGCAGGGGAAGAGTGTGAGGAGTCTTCCCCTGAGGAGGAAGGAGCAGCAGAGACAACATGAGATGAACTGACCGCAACCCCCATTCCCTGTCCCCCTGTGCTGCTCAGGGGGAGGAGGTAGAGAAAATAGGGAGTGAATTTGAGCCTGGGAAGAAGGGAGAGGTGTGGGGAGGTGTTTTAAGATTTGGTTTTATTTCTCATTACCCTACACGTGTTCTCACTCCTCTCTCCTACTCAGTTTTGATTGGTAATAAATTAAACTGATTTTCCCCAAGTTGAGTCTGTTTTGCCCGTGATGGTAATCGCTGAATCCTTATCTCAACCCATGAGCCTTTTCATTACATTTTCTCTCCCCTGTCCAGTGAGAAGGAGAGTGACAGAGTCTCTTTGGTGGGCACTTGGCATCCAGCCAGGGTCAAACCACCACAACTTTCTGTTCTGAAAAAAAAATACCAGTGTTAACAACATCAACTAGTAATTGCAGATGATTAAGTTACTTTGAAAATAAAAATTTTTACTATCTACTAAAAATATACCAGTTTTACCATTATTAAACCATCAGAGTCATTCCCCTCTAAAAGCCCTCCCTTTCCCTCATTCATCTTGTTCAAAAGTGAGATTACATCTGTTCTTCATCTTTGAATGGGGTTCACGTTCCCTGCGTTTATCGGTTTGGTAAGTCATACTAGATGGTAAGAATTACAACCATGGCTCTCAAGAACAGAGTCTGTCAGTGTCAAAGCAGTTATACTGCCTCTGAGTACCATGTTTTTATTTAATTTTTCTTGGTTATTCTGTCAGTTAATATACTGAAGTAATCTTTTCTTCATTGCATTAATACTGTAACCTTTATTTTTTAGGTTTAACGTACAAGAAGTTAAACAGAATAGATGAAGCTTTGGATTGTTTTCTGAAACTCCATGCAATCCTTCGAAATAGTGCCCAAGTCCTTTACCAGATTGCAAACATGTATCTTTTTTCTGGATTATGATAGGGGATGGTGGTTTTAGCAAACTCATTTAATCTGAAATATGTTTCAATCATGACATGACGACTTAGAAATTCACTACAGTGTTCATTGTAATTAGGAAGATCATGCATAGATTCATTCTCTGATGTTTGTAAAAACGAGAACAGAACTTACAATCTTCTTGGACATTTCCAGTGAATCAAGTGAAGAAATACATTAAGGTTGTTAACATTGCAGGGAATACATTTATACTCAGTATTAAAGTGTGCTCTGGAATATTTAAAATGCTGCTGATTTTATTATAAAAATAATGTGGCAGATGTAAGCACAATTGAGTAAAACCTTTAAGGAAAAAAAAAATACAGCTAATGAAAGTGAAGTTCTGTTCTGAAAGCTGTTTTCAAATTAGTTAGTGTATGTGTAGGAGAATAATTGTCTGCCAGCACTGCAAAAGCTCAACAGATTGAAAAGCTGAGGAGGGGAGGGGTTGGCTTTGCACATCACCAGTGATATTCTACACTATGCATTTCTTTAACAATGCTTCTGAGGATGTGCAAACTAATAAAATCCTCCCCCAGGCAGAACACATTCCCGTTGCTGTACTACACTCAAGAATAGTGAAGGTAATAAAAGTATATTTTAGTAAAATAAGTAACCTCCAAAAATACAAAAGGGCTGTGATCTCTATTCCTTGCGTAGCCTCTTTTCAGCAGCATAAATGGCCCTACAACTCCCCGTTCCCACCTGGGGGAGAATTTCTCTGCTCCACTGCTATGTAAAACTGCTTTCCACTAACACTCACAAGGTTTTTCTGTGAAGGGTAGGGTGCAGCAGAAACTGAAAAAACATGTGGAGCAGTAGCTCCAGCTCACATTGCTGCAGAGGTCTGAGCCATTGTGCCACTCGGGTGACTGAGGAGGGGAGAGCACACTGCAGGCCCGATCACAGCTAAAGCTGCCTCTGTTCTCTGGCCAGAGTCATACATTGTCTGTGCTGTGCTCCTGGACATACAGCAGAAAATCTCACTGCAGGCAAAAGTCTGTTCTTGAGGATAGCAGTTTTACCTAATCATTTACTTTAGGACAAAATTATATATTACAAAAGCCTAACGAAGTTCTAAGGGCTACAAATAAATCGCCTGGTTCTCACACTTCATTCTTATAAACAAAGTCAAAGTAAAATTAGTGACAGAGAGGAGAACCGAGCCTGAAGTGATTTTAAGGTGAAAGAGCAGCCAAGGCCTCTGAATATTTCTCTTTCTACAGGGTAACAAAAATACTTTCCGATATGAATGAAATTATGAAAATAATGTTTAAAAAATCCCAGTGTATCTCCACACTACAATAATCTCCACACAACAATATCTGTCCAGCATATGCATTACTTTACATAGTAGTAGGAATTCTGAGTAAATCAAAATATCATTGGCATCAGTCCTTGACTGAGGAGAACTCAGATATGAGATCATGGAAGATCCCAATCAAGCCATAGAGTGGCTCCTGCAGTTGATCAGTGTAGTACCAACTGATCCACATGTACTTTCAAAACTAGGGAAATTATATGATAATGAAGGTGATAAATCCCAAGCTTTTCATTATTACTATGAGGTACTTGTTCTTATTGCTTTTCCAATGCACTTTGTCATAATTAAAGAAAAATTTTGTCACAGGTTCCGGTATCAAATTAACAATTAATTCATTTAAACGTTTGAAAATGTCATTTAAAAAAAAGAGATTTTTGTGGGACAGAGTTGACAAAAATCTACTTTTTGTAGTCAGATCCTAAGGAAACACATAGCCTGTGTTTCTGCGTGGTATTTGACCTCAGACTTTCATTTTTCATATGATCATTGTTTACATTGAACCCTAACAATTTTAATTTAAGATATAGTCCAAGAAGTAAAAGATGGATATAATAAATGTAATTTTAAAGGTGTGTGACATGACTGCATTGATTGGAAGCTGTATCTGTATAATGGAGAGAGACAGAGAGAGAGAGATAATGTGTTTGTGTTTATGTATGTAAGTTTTTATACATATTGTAATGGTACAGCTACACATGTATAAACAGTTGCCTAAAGACAGGCATCTTCAAACCAGCTGTAGTACTGCCTGTAGAGATTCTTCTGTTTAGAAACTGGAATAAGACAGGAAATTGCTTTGCTGCAGTCTGAGATGTGTTTTTATCTGTGTAAAGCAAGGATGACCGCACGCAGTGTTGCAATCTGAATACTAGTGGAGTGGCGCTTGATGATAATTTTGCTGCCTATTTAGTGGGAATTTCTAAAAAGCCAAAAATGTTATTTAGGTACATTATTTAGGTATTTCATAGAAAAGAATGCTTTTAGGTGAGTTTTCCAGCAGGCTGATTTGAGTGTGGAATTGTACACGTATTAGTTAGCATTGTTTAATGTTTTAGGTAACTTATTCACATGTAGACATGATCTAAGTAAACGTTTTTGCTGTTGCAAACTATTTAAAATAATATTTCAAATAAGGCTGGGTGGAAAATGTGACAGACTCATCTCAGGTAACTTCTAAAAAGCATTCTGTAATTAGAAAACTTGGCATGCTTTTTTTTTTTTTTTTCCCCCCTAGGATTACTTAGTATAGCACACTAGTTCCATTCATATATTACACATTTTTGGCATCTGGAGAATTAAATGCTTGAGTAAGATATTCCAGAAGTAACATAAAGATGTTGTTTATCACTAAAATTGTGTTTCTTTCACCTTTCCTATTTTGTCAGTCATACCGGTATTTCCCTTCAAACATTGAGGTCATTGAATGGCTTGGAGCCTATTACATTGACACTCAGTTTTGTGAAAAAGCCATTGAGTACTTTGAAAGAGCAGCACTTATCCTGTAAGTAATTATTATTTTATGCTTAGTCAAATATTTTGTGATTAGACATCCATAAGTATACCTGGAGATAAATTAGTTGGATAACTTTAATACTATAAGCAAATACCAGAGTTAAGAATATTTGGGATATTATTTAATTTTCTCAACTTTCTGTTCGTTTACAGTGTGTTTTTGCTCTTACTGTGCAATTTCAATGTTAAGTAAGATCCTCCACTGGGCCTGAGATAGTATTAGGTATCAGAATCTCTTTTCTCTATCCTCTGCCACTAAAAACAGCTATGAAGTGGGGAACAGCTCTCCTAAGCCACCAAGACCTCCTTCTCTATGGCTTTATGTGAAATATTTCCTTTCTGTTATTTTATCATGCAGTGTGGATTTGATGGTTTAGATAAATGCATCTTTTAGCAGTTCTTGCTGCATTTCTACTTTTCACGTAACTTCTACTCCCATTAAAAATGCTGTTACAAATAAGGTATAGAAGTAAGCAAAAATATGCAGTGCAGAATTACCAATGGCTAGTGAAAGTAAGTTGACAGATCAAATTGATCCTGATAGAGATATTTGAAATATGTTGAGTTTAGTTCAGCATCTTAATTGCTGAAATTGTCCTTCAGCAGAATGTGATACACTTAAGAAAGTACATAGGCCATATATTTTATTTTAGATCAGAAAGGGAGCTTACCAGACAAATGGTTAATAAACAAGAATTTGGTCGAATTTAAATCTGTAATCCAGAGTTCAAACAGAATTCTAAAAAGACATGCATATGGTCTTTTTTTGTGGAAACAAATATTTGTCTATATGTTAATGAAGAATTTTGTGTTAATAGACCAACTAAAATTCACTCCAACAAGTGTGCATTTCTTTATTTTGTGTTTTGGGAAACCTATCAAAAATCAGGCTAAGCAAAACTCAGTTATTGCTTGTCTCGTGATGATCTAAAATTTGACATTCTTTTTGTTCTGTGAATCTGAATGACATGCATGAACACGACAGCATGTGAACAAAAATTTGTACAGTATTATTCAAGGAAAGATTATATTGCAAATATGTTGTTAGACGTTCAGTAAAAAATACTAATTCTGGTTTTGAAAGGGCTTGAGTTAGAGCAGACATTAATTATAGAAGAGAAAATCCAAGGTTTAAATAAGGATTAAAAATTGAAACAAAAATAATTAGAAAAACATAGACTTCACCCAAACTGTGATATAGTTATAAAGAAATAGAGATGTAGATTAGATGAAAATACATAGGAGACAGTTCACAGAAATCACAGTTCACAGGTTTGCCAGTATTCTTTTCAGTATAAATAATGGCCACCTTAAAAAACTGTATTTTAGTCAAGCTATGAGATAGCATATGCTGGTGTTCACAGCCTTCTTAGAAACTTTGGAAGGAAACAGCTGAAACTAAAAAGAGTTATTTCATAATTTTGTTTTGGCAAAAATCTATATATTTCATGCTTCATGTTGCACGCACTTCATGTTTCATGCATGGACCATGTGGATTGTAAAGTACTTACGAATAATTAGCATATGAAATTCTTCATTATTATTTGTAATTGTAATCTTTCTGTAATACAAAGAAATTATTTCTCTGTGGGATGAGATTGTTAATAGTAGATAACAGAACATAGATGTTCTGGTGTTTATTTGGTATTAAAAATAGACTCTAGATATGCTAATTGCTAAATATGAATGTTGGCTTATAAATTGCTACTAATTGTAAATAAAGTTACATTTTTAAATTACAATTTTATTTTAACCATGACCAGCATTTTTATTTTAACATTGTTTAGTGTATTCAGTGTTTTAATCACAATAATTACATTTTAAATTGCATTCTAAGATAACATGTTTGACAATGAATTGAGAAACAGTTTTTCATTATTCTACATTTTACTAGCATGCAGAAATCTATCATTAATAAAAGGAGTTGTGCAGCTCATGCTGGCTGCTGACAATTTGCTCTCTCTAGAATTTTCATACTGAACTGTGTAATAAACTTTATTATGGTGTCTGCTTGGCTGGCTTTATTGTTTGCAGGAGACATATTCAGCTGAAACTAAAAAAGGTGAAGCAGCTGTCTTTCATAAGCTTGTTTGGCAACTACCAGGCAAACAGATTATTTAGAGTTAAAAATGGCCTGTGCTGTGACTGGGGGGAGAAATTGAAGAGAATAAGTACAAAACTATTGTGAAAATGTTAGCATACAGTGCCTTTGGGTTATGCTACTGTTGAATTGTAAGCCACATGAGAAAACTGCTTTGGCTTATAGAGCATCCTTACACATGAAAATTTCCTAATTTTCACATTATCTTGATAAGAATGAGGAAAGAGTCCAACAGTTTTGTTGTACGTGTTCAAACATCTCAAATATTTTCTCTGACCATTTCTGTCATCATTATGGGCTAAAAAGAGAAGGACAGGTAGCAGGTAGGACATCGAGGTGATGGCACAGAGGAGAAGCCAGAGTTTGAAGCTGTAAGTGGGGAATGTGCTTCTTGGCAGGGATCCCTTGGGCGTGCTTGGGACCCTACTGGTGAGACTTAATCAGAATACAGTTTAGCATTTTGTTCTCCCCCATTGCGTGGTTCTGTACCTCAGACAAAGATTAGTGGTTCACGTGTCAGGTCTACCAATCGTGTCTGGTGCACAGAATCATGAGCAGGAGAAAGACTATAATACAGGACTACAAAGGAGTGACATCAAGGCCTGAACACAGGAGCATGACACAGGGGTAAACTGTGTGTGAACTGAATAGGCTAAATTCTTCCTAGGAAGGCAATATGCCAGGTGAAAAATTTTAAGAGTAGTTTAATAGTAGGTCTTTACCAATGCTATGCAGATTATTTTGCTTGTTCATTGTTTGGCAGTATGCATAATTTAATTTTATTTATATGCAGACCGACACAAGTGAAGTGGCAGCTGATGGTTGCCAGTTGCTACAGGAGAAGTGGTAAGTTCTGTAACTTTTTTATAATTAGTTGGAGGTTTGTAACATATTTTGTAATTAGTTGGGATTGTTCAGCCTGGAGAAGAGAAGCCTGAAGAATATATCAAGGGGGCTTATAAGAAAGATGGAGAGAGACTTTTACCAGGGCCTTTAGTGACAGGACAAAGGGCAACGGCTTTAAACTGAAGGAGGGTAGACTTAGATTGGACATAAGGAAAAAATTTTTTACGATGAAGGTGGTGAGACACTGGAAACACGGTGCCCAGAGAAGTTGTGGGTGCCCCATCATTGGAAATGTTCAAGGTCAGGTTGGATGGGGCTTTGAGCAATCTCATCTAGTGAGAGATGTCCCTGCCCATGGCACGGGGGTTGGACTAGATGATTTTTATGGGTCCCTTCCAACCCAAACCATTCTATGATTTGTTTTGTTTTGGTTGATGTTTTGATTTTTTTTTCTTTTGATCTTTTCTACCTGATGTGAATACTGTTCCTAAAGTTTGTTTGAAATTTCAGTTACGTATTATTTGTATATGTAATAAAACATGACTTTTCTTTAAGTCCAGGAAGTGTGCCTGCACTGACTTATGCATGAAACACTCATTGTGCTGTTAAATAAGTAAAATACAGAAGATACTACAGCATAAATGATCTAATAGAAGGGGTTTTTAAATGTAATTATACTAGCATCTGATCTGGCATAAGTATTTAGATTTTAAAGTTGCTTAATTCCCGTTCCTTTTCAACAGCAGGTATAATTTTTCTGTATTAAAATAGTATTTGCATTACACAAACAAAAGGCAGTCTTAATGTGCTGTATTTTCTTACTGGGAATATAATATGCCAATAAGCAAAGTGGAAAAGAGACTGATCTTTCTGGGTATTTTCATCACCTAAAATACATTCAAGGCACTTGATGAGGTGAATGATACTCTTCTTTCTTTCTGTCCCATTTTGTTACTCTCCTTTATGTTTCTTTAGAACTTTGCAGAGCAGACTTCCACAATAAATAAGTGCATTTTCTCACTCTGCTCAGTTATTTAATACAACAGTGAGGAAAGGAACATGACCTAGGAAAGTCAGTGAATTAAGAACCGTCAGCACCACCCAAAACAGATTAACTGTTTTCCCAGCAAAGAAAAACAATCGGTTTGGCTGCTTTTTAGATCATTTATGATTCATTGGCAAAATTCCCAGTTTAACACATAGCAGGTCAGTTTGATCTCTACCTTGTGCTAGGGAAACAAAAATAGTGATCTCAACAAACTTTTTTGTCAGATATTTTAGCAATATGAGGTTTTAGATTCACTGGTCTATCAGTCCTTTCCATAATAATCAAGCTGAGCCAAAATTGAAGGCAAAAGTCTTAAAGAATAATTACTTTGCTACCAGATGTGGGCAAAGGAGACACACACAATTAGTATTCTGATGGAAGGAAGGGTAGGCAGAGCTTAACTGTTACATATTTCTATTTGACCAATCCATACATTTGCAGCCTCAGATAAGCCCTGGTATGCTTGATACAGCTTGTCTAGTAGATGTGTCATAGAACAATGGTGTCCTAGAGGCCGGTCAAAAAAGGGCAAAAATCAGGAAACTCCTCTTAATTAATTCTCTTATTTATGGAGTAATTTGGACTGTTTTCAGGTACTCTTAATTTTTGCTATCAGTAATTAAAGCATGTTAAGTTTGGTTTTATCAAATTTGGTCTTATATTAAATCAGGTACTCAAACTAAAAAGCTGAAGTGATGTTAAACTGTATCAATTTCTCATCAGATATTCTTTTTCATGTTTGGATATGTGGATAGATGTTTGTTTTCTTTGCAGGTAACTACCAGAAAGCTCTGGAGAAATACAAAGTCATTCACAGAAAATTCCCAGAGAATGTTGAATGTAAGTTGTTTCACTGAGTGGTACAACTATCAAAGGAAACTTTGTTACATTGAATATGTGTGTTAGTAATTGTATGATGTAAGTATTTTTCATATGAAAATATTTTCATGAACTAACATTTTTACTCATGCTAATGCTGCATGTTTTCTGTGGCAACACTAAAGCATGATTTAAGAAATATTAGGGTAATGCTGAAGAAGAGAGATGAAAATAAACTTTTAACTGTAGCGGATTGGTTGAGTTCTTTCTCATACATACTTTATAAAGTTTATAATTTAGTGTTAATTTTATAAATTTTATAACTTCCTGTTACTTATTTAATCTTTCTTATGATAAAATATATGTGTTTTACTTCTAGTCCCTGTTAGTTGAAACCCTGCTGTAAGTTTCTAGATATAAGAAAATCTTATTGTTAAGTTTTACCAAAGCCAGGCCTTCCAAAAGAGGGTGAGATTTTGTTGTTGGGTTTTTAAGTATAGTTGGTCAACCAGTCTCTAGAAAATCCATAGACAATTTCAAACTAAACTACAGGAAACATAACTTTGAAGAGTAAGACGTTTTGCAGAGTCAGTCACACCTGTACTCTAAATGAAGAAGTCCTATAGAAAATAGGATTGTCACTGGTTGTGAAAGCATCCTCTTATATCCCACACGGTGCCTCACTAATTCCAAAATACGAGGTTGTTGCCAACAAGACTATGCTTTTAAATGCTACGTGGGAAGAACATTCACTGTATTTTAAAATAAAATTGTATTGTTCTGCTTTAACAAACCTATTGCTTTTTTAAAAAGGAATCATACAGCGCTGTTGTACAAGAGAAATTCAATACTATGACTCCTCAAAGTTATAAGCAAAATATCATGTTCGTATTGGTCACAAATATTGACCATTGAGTTTTTAGTAAACCTTTTATAATGCTAATATTTTTCTGAATGTAGTTTCTACAAATTACAAAACGGAGGCAGGAGTTAGCCAAGCCAGTTGAACTGATTTAAAAGTTTGCTGCTGATGAAACAATAGTTCTTCACTCATCCCTCCCTGGCCATGTGCTCCCAACCATCTTACTTATGCTGGTATCTGATCCCTTAGTTCAGCTCCCTAAACCAGCAGAAAACTAACTTAGCACAAAAAGAAAATAACATATTTGTGAAAGCAGTCAGGAGGGTAATGGATCATGCCATGCTTGTTCCTGCTTCAGAGACAGTTCTTTCAAAGGGATGTTGACAAACACATTGAAAACATTGTTGCTATTCCTGAGTTTGGTATAGTGTCTCAGACTGGTTTTAGGGGTTCTTTTCATTCCATCATACATTTATAGTCGATCTTCATGTCTGGTTTGTTGGGGTTTTTTAATTCTATAAATACTAATCTTTAAAAAATCAACCACAGCAACAGAAAAATCCAAACTGTTCTGATTCACTTGCTACTTGTAAAATTGTTTTCAACAAAATTCTATTGATGGTGGCTCCTCAGTAATAACTTGGTATCATTATTATGCTTTCCAGTTTCCAAAATATTTTGCTGATATCAAGAGTTCTGAGTCAGATGAGTTAAGTGTATCTTGTGCCTTCCACATATATAAATGGTATTTGTACGGTTCATGGATATAGACATGGCATCACAGAAAATGTTGAATTATTTGCAAAATATCACAACTTGCGTCGTGATACTGGACTAGAGTGACCTTGTATTCCCAGTTATTTGCGTTGTTTGCCATTCTGTATGTCCAGTTCTGTTAGGGTTCACTTGCAGTTTGACCTTCTTGTAAGCCTTTTTTTTTTTTTTTTTTTTTTAACAATGTTTTGCTTTTCAATTAGGCCTCCGATTTTTAGTTCGTCTCTGCACAGATATGGGGCTGAAAGAAGTCCAGGAATATATGACAAAGCTCAAGAAAGTGGAAAAATTGAAAGAAATAAGAGAGCAGGTAAGCTTGTTTCTTTCTGTGATTATACAGTATCACTATGTACATAGATGAAGCTAAAATAGTGTTTACAATACTTCAAGATAAAATGTGTATTAACTTCCTGGTTTAGAGAGGCTTGTGTCTTGTGGGTCTTGGTTTTTTAGTTTTAAATTGCTGATCAGCCTTTTATCTGTCTGAATGTTTTTTGAGCACAGGATTTTCTGTGATTTTAAATACTAGTGAAAGACAGGGTATGTGGATGTGATGGGAATGCTGGAGCCACCTGCATAATTCAATGTCTCTGGAATGTCGTCTTTCCTACTTATTTGCCAAACTGTATAAAATATATTTATGAGCCAAGTAATAATGCGACTGTAGGGAGAGAAGGGAAGCCTAAGAATTTGTCTATGTACTAGAACTGCTTTTTGCTATATATTAAGCTGCAACAGCAACAGATTACATAGGTAGAAGTAAATTATTCATGTTAGTGCCAGTTTTTAAACTGAGAAAGATTTCCACGGAAAAGCTACAGGCTATGAAAGGTATGAGATAGTACCTTGTGTTCTGTTCAGAGGAGTGAGCGTGTGTGTGTGTGTGCATGCGCATGCATTGTTTTCTTGCTATTCCTGTGATAAAGTAGGATTTTAAAATGAAAATCAGCTTCTTGTTTGGAAAGCATTATCTGTGCTGTTGAGCTGCAAAGTGTTCAAGCTTGCTCTTCCTATCCAGTGAGTTGCCTCAAAGCTACCTACTCACATTAGGACATATTAAGTCTTTACCTAATTTACTCTACTCCTAGTAATACTTACTGGCTCCCTTTTGATGTCAGATAATGTGTAAATGCATCCTCAATTACTTTTACTTCAATTCCAGAGAGTCTGAGTATGCACATGTACACTGGGACATTTTAAAAATGAAACTCACAAAGGGAAACACTGATCAAAGGATTCCAAATTTATGCTACAACCTTACGTTCGGGGACTAATTGAAAGCAGTCCACAAATGTAGTGGGGCTAATATTCCTCCATGTCTCCTCCATAATGGTATCAGTAAGCAAAATGGATGACCAGAACTAATGTTCCTATTCTGCAAAACCCATAATTAAACGATCTCTCTGAAATGGGTTAAACAGGCTTTGCTTAGTTTCTAGGGAATATCAGTTCAATGTCAGTGATATACATAGTTCTTTACCGTAACTTCCGATACCTCAGTGCTTTACTTGGGAAAGCTCAGAGATGAAACCGGTTAAAACTGGATTATTTTATAGTTGGTAAGAGAGAGGTCCCTGGAGATGGAGAGGTTATCTATTGCCTTGCATGTAATTCCAGCATTTTTTACACTGAAGGTGTTAATTATGTACCGTAGATCTGCAAATGTTGAGGATTCTAAGGAAAACACTTTTTTCCTTTAAGAAACTTAATGTTGCAATATGTTTTAAAAAAAAAAAAAATCAAGTTGTCACATCTCTTTGTGTTTATTTCATGTTGGAAGCCTGAGCTTTCCTGAACACATTTCTGTACTTTCTGGTGGGGAAAAAGTTACCAGTAAAATATTTAAAAGATTAAATCATCTAAGTTATTTAAGATTTTTAGTAATACAGAAATTATGTTTAAATTATGTGATTTTTTTTCATTCTGACTACATTGTATTAAGAGACTTCATTGAGTAGTACCTGAATGACAGAGATATCAATGGAATCCAGTACAGATGCGTGGTAGAATAAGTTATTGCGTAGTTGTTTTAGACTGTTCAGACTTTAATAGTGATCATAGTTCAGCCATGATATATGGAAAGCTCACTCTGTGTATTACATTTAAGTGTTCCTGTTTAAGAGTCTGGTGACTCTATCCTGTCACAAAACTAACCTTGCAAAGCAGAATCATAGAATGGTTTGGGTTGGAAGGGACCCATAAAGATCACCTAGTCTACCCTCCTGCCATGGTCAGGGACGTCTTTTACTAGATGAGGTTGCTCAAAGTCCCGTCCAACCTGACCTTGAACAGTTCTAATGATGGGGCATCCACAGCTTGTCTGGGGAGTCTGTTCCAGTGTCTCACCCCCTTCATCATAAAAACTTTCTTCCTTATGTCCAATCTAAGCCTACCCTCTTTCAGTTTAAAACTGTTGCCCCTTGTCCTATCACTACAGGCCCTGGTAAAATTCTGTCCCCATCTTTCTTATAAGCCCCCTTATTGAAAGGCTGCAATAGGTCTCCCCAGAGCCTTTTCTTCTCCAGGCTGAACAACCCCAACTCTCTCAGCCTTTCCTGACAGGAGAGGTGCTCCAGCCCTCGGATCAATTTTGTGGCTCTCCTCTGGACCCACTCCAACAGGTCCATGTCTTCCTTGTATTGGGGACCCCAGATCTGGATGCAGTACTCCAGATGGAGTCTCATGAGAGCGGAGTAGAGGGGAGAATAAGGTATCTATGATGGCACTTCTAATTAGTCAAAGATTTAAGGTAGATCTGCCTAAAGACTTTCCTATAGCATGCTGCACAGAAAAGAAAACAGGCTTTTAAATAAAAATAAGCCTGATTCTATTATAATTTAAACTAAACCAATTTTCTTTTAAGCAGAGAAAACTAAAATGCAGTAGGTTTAAAAAACCCGAAGAAACCCAAACCAAAACAACTCCCCTGCCCCTGCAAACCACCAACAATAACTAAAACAGGTTTCTTGTTGGCTCTGTCAACTTCATGCAGGCCCATGCTTCCAGCTTGTTTGGGTAAGCTCAGTGAGTTTCTGAATGGCAGCAAAATTTTGCCCCCGTGGTTCCTAGTACATTGTCTTCAGAATCTCTGAAGCCTGATCTGTTGCTTTCTTGCTCCTTCTTGCAGCTCCTTGTCATGGGGGGACATGTCCCATCTCCCTCTTCTGGCTCCCTTGTCTGCCATGCTCTGAAATCTCCCAAGTTCAGTGTCTCCTCAAGGAAAGGAACAACTTTTTCTGCCCCCTAAGGAACCCACTGACCCAGTTTTCTTAAAAATCAACACCATTGTAGATGTAAAGGAACAAAGCCACTAAGAATAAAAAGATGCTACAGAATGCACTGTATCCTGTAGTAGAAGTTGGGTATCTTTCCGTGACAGAGTCTCAACATCAGTGCTGTCTTGCAAACAATAGCCCTGCAGTTCCTTTTTGCTATTGGTGTTGCATGTGGGTTCCCATCCCCTGGTTTTGGGGTTTTGTTTTTTGTTTGTTTGCTTGCTTGCTTTGTGTGTGTGTGGTTTTTTAGACTTATGTCTACCATCTGGCTTTGGAAATTACTAGGTATTTTTGTCCTAAGAAATTCATTCTCTCACCCATGAGCATATAGTCATAAACTATACTTTCAAGTTCTAAAATTACCAAATTTAAATATTTCACCACCTAAGTTTCCAATAGGAACAGTGGTTTCAGTTAGCAATACCAGATATAGTTCAGTTCCTGCTCCCAGTTTCAGACTAACACATGATTTCTCGATTGCACCCAGTAAAGAGAAATAGATAAATGCTAGCATAATATAACTACATTTCAAAGTCTGCACACAGACTTTGTTTTCCTGTAGAAATTTATAAAAAAAATGTGCTATTCTGGCATTGTTTTTCCAGAATAAGTATATCCACATGGAGTTTATACCAAAATAAATATTCTGGAGTACTTATTTCACGCAATTCTCGAATATGGACAAGTTGTTAAATACTTCCAGCCAAGAATCTGGGAACATCTGTGGGGTTCATTCCCTGTAGAAATGTTTCTCCCTGCCTCTCACAGCATTGGATTTTTACTGTAACCTTCATATGTTTGTTTTGGTTTTGTTTTGGTTTGGGTTTTTTTACTGCATTGATCTTTTTCATGTTTCAGTTTAAAAAAGACAGGTAATAGTGTAAAAGTTCACACAACTTTCTTGGCACTGATGTATACACATATTACTATTTATATCTGTTAAGCAAACTTAATGACTGAAAATGAGGGACTGACTGGGTGTGGTGTGAAGCAGTGTTGATAGGTGCAAACACTGGGGGACTTACTGCCTTTACCTTCAGGCATCTCCATCTGGACTAATCACCCTAAATTTCTTTTGCAGTTATGGGAGAGAAATAGGCATTTTTAGGGTGGAAATCATTGGACCTATTTTAAATGTCTGCTTTTAGTGTGGGATGACTTATGAACTACTCACTTGGAACTTTACAGGAATTAGTCATACACATAAGCTGTAGTACTTCTATAATATTTTGGGAGTAGGGTGTAAATCCTAGTAAGTCCTAGGATGTAAATGCCATGAGGGCACTATCATATAGGGACCATTTCCCTCTGGCAGAGAGAAGCTGAGCTTCCACTGGCAGACTTGTCAGTCATTTAACATTTGGAGAGTCTGAACATGCTTCCTGAAGGACTGATATATGCTACTTCACTGGACTGTGAATGGGATATTTAATCCTGAATTCAGACAACATATTTCAGACTTGAGGATTTCCCAAAATAAATAAAAAGTATGAGAAATTCTGTTTCCAGACTGGATCACTCCAAGACCATTCCTCGTTTCACGCTAGGCTCACTGCTTTCCTGTCTGACTCCTGTGAGTTTTGATTTAAAGGTTCTTCCTTTTTCTTTTGGCATGAATCTTGAAAGTTCTTTCACTTTTTCTGTGGCATTCCAACTTTGCCAGACTCCATGATATTTTTCTGGTGAAAAATGAATGAAGAAGCTCCAGTAATTGATCTGAATACATGGTTAGGTAGTGTGCACAGGTGTTTTAATCAGATCCTGAATTCGTATTTTGAAACGAGATGCAGAGATTACTTTATTAACAGCTGAGTGCTTTAAACACCAAGTTTTTGTACCTACCCATCAAAAAGTCCCTCACTGAGGTGTACCTTCTTGTAATTGACAAGATATATGCATGAGAAATTTGGTGTTTTGCCAGAAGAAGCCAAGTCTGCGGTGTGATACAAAGGTATTGCTTTGATAAACTGTTAAAGTTTTCAAATAACACTAAAAAAAAACACAGCTGGAAGATGTTTATGGTACCTTCCTCAGTGCAAGAGAGCTGACTTTTTAAACACAGCTTTTAAAGTATTTACCTTCACCTTTATCTTGCATTTAACACTCAACAGCAAATTAAATTTTGCTGTAAAGTACAGTGCTGTGCCAAGTATTCAAAATTTAAGATCTATGGGGTGAATAGTTCTTTTTATAGATTTCCCTACTTCCCCCCCTTGAATCTTTACAATAATAAAACGCTTGTGGGATTTACAAGACGTTAATAGGCAGAGGCTACTTTGAACTTGCGCAAGGAGGGCTATGTTGCCTGTTTTTTCAGCTGTACTTTGTAGAGGTACATCTGAACTATTTTTATGCACATTCCTTGTATAAATTTTATCTGAAGGAAAATAATTTATTGAGATATTCTGTTTGAATTTCATAGAACTCGTTTTATGTAAACATTGGATTTAACACTGATTTTAAGGACAATTTTGTGCATTGAAAAAATAAGGTTTATTAGTTACAGCATAATAAGCCTAGTTTAATGTTCTTCTACTGTTTTGTTAATAAGCTGAGTTTTCAGTAATTATCTCTAACGCATATTACTAAATGGGGTTTTTGTTCTATTCTTTTCAAACCTTTTTCACTATTCTCCAGCGCATTAAATCTGGCAGAGATGGCAGTGCACGTAGCCGCAGAGAAGGAAATGCTGGTGGTGGTAAGTACTTAATGCCTCTGCTTAAATATCAGATTTGTCAGGATCCTAAAGAAACTAGTTTTTCTTAACGTGTTTGTAAAAGCTCCTTACATTATGAAATGCACACAAATATGCATTGAGTAATATGCAAGTACTTCACAAATTTTGTTTCACACTTTTTGATTATCTCATTGCTGTATGAAACCTCAATCAGTATAGTAGCATGGATTTGGTCTAAGATTTGTGTTTTATATACAGATTGCAGTGTATTCCTAGAGCTAAATTTCTACTTGTTTTCAATACTGTGGACTTGAACATTTTATCCCATTAACTTTAGAATATTTAAGGAATCATTTACTATAAAAAAACAGAACATGTAAGCTGTGAAAAACAGGAATTCATTGTGTCTTTATTTAACATGGAGAAAAGGGAATTTTGTGCCCACCATCTGCTCTGTTACGTTAGGTGTTTGTTACAAGTTCAAGAGGTTATTTTGTGCAACCAGCTCTGTAATAAGGAGGACACCTATACTGTCTTTGAGATCCTTCTTCCCCTTTTCCCAGTGTAGCAGAGTTGAAGTACTAGAGTCTTCCATAGAGGACAGCTTGCTCTCTAAGTCTCTCTGCTCCTATAGATTTACAATGCTGACTTTCATAAATGTAAAACTCTAGCAATGTAAGTCTGGAAACTGGCCTGCTTTGTCTTTTTCTGCACTAGGTAGTCTGCATATTGCAGAGCTAATGATTTTTCCCTTCCATTATTAAATCCATGAAATGTTAGTAATGTTAAACCTAACTGTTCCTCACTGCTGCTCTAAGGAAACTAGCAGACTTCAGGCTACTTCAGCCACCTGGAAAAAAATCCATTTTGACCCAAATAGGAAATGGTTTCTTTGTGTTCTGCATTTGGTTTATCTTAATATCGGTGGGTCTCATAAAAAGACACCCCCTACAAATTCTTGCCTCTCTTCCATAATTTATTGGTTTGTTGTTTCTTTTTTTTCCTTATTTGGCAATTTTATTTCTCCACCTACATAGCAGATGCTTTACTACATTTATCCAATTCTGTAGGGTCATGAAAAGTCATGGACATTACTAGTGTAATCTTAAGATGACCTTAGAATGCTGTTACGTTTATGAAGACTGCTCTTCCGGGTTCTCTTAAGGGTTAAGAATGAGTGTTGGATGCTTCAGAGAGATCTCATTCCTTTTTCAGCTCAGTAGTTTCGCTAGAGAAGCTTTTAAATCATTTCTTGATAGGTAGAAAAAACACCATTCACCTAGGATTGAATTTTACCTGTTCTGGGACTCAGGCCAAAGTAATTCTTGGGGTGAAATTCCTTATTTTGGTAACAGAGAGGGATGGAAACGTTTTTGGACTCTCATTTGTTACATAAGCCCTATGATCAGGCAGCCAGCTAGAGATGCCAGCAGAACAGCAGTGTGGGACAGCATGGGCACCTGGTTTCTGTCATAAAGTGGAGATCCACTTTGGCTTATAATAAATAGAAATGAAGAGCAGTGTTGGTAGCAGGCAATGGTATTTACAGCTGTGCAAAACATTGCATCAGGCATACAGCCAAATGGCACAAAAGGTCTCTTTTCTTACCGCTGTATTTTGTAATTATCCCTATCCTCATTAGTGAAAAGGGGGCATGTTATCAGGAGAGAGTCAGTAATTTAGCAAAAGAGGATATAAATAACAACCAAGCTGGAAAGATGCTAAGACAACATCAATCCCCCAAACTACCAGTTTGTCAATACTTCTAAAGACAGAAATATCTATGGAAAGTTGTCTTTTTTTTAAAAAATAGAAAACATCCCTTCCCCTCCCCACCAAAGCTGAAGGCATGAGGGACTTTGGCTGCAAGCTCTAGTAATTCCAAGGTATTACTCTTTCCCCCCATAACTAGAGTAATGGGAGAAGAGCAAATGCAGACATTTAGGATGCTAACATAAAGAGGATGAGAGGGTAAGCAGGGTCAGAATTGACCTAGAATTTGTCCTATCAGTAATTCTTAGATTGTTGCTCAAGATATTTTGTCAAATTCATGAAAGAATGGAAAAAAACAGAGTTTGGGAACAACTCTGTTTAAGAGCATGTTTGAGAAGTCTCCATTATACAAATTCAGTGCCAAAGATCCAACCTTTCTGGAAATGACTCTGCAAACAAGCAGAGGTACAGAGAAGGTCCTGTATGGAGTCTGGAGTTAGTTTTCTGCTGGGATTCCTAATTAAAAGTTTTGGTGACATGTATTACTTATATATATTTTTAGAAGGAGTCAAAGGCATTATGCATTTTTTAACTAGTAATGTTGACTCTGGAGAACCCTATCAGTGAAGAAGCTGCACACTCACAGCAACAGATGTTAAGGACTAAGTTGTAGTTTGTCTGCCTTTTACTGAGGATGACTGAGAGAAACCCAAAGAGCCAAATATTATTTTGTCCAATGCTTGGCATTATTCACCTGGGTTATGAGTCCATATTTTGCAGTGTAAGAAATTTCTGTACATGGCCTGTGTGAAGACACATATCAAATATAAACATGGGTTATTTTATTTCAGAATCTTAGTACACTTTTGATAAATGAATGGTTTCAAAATAAAAAAAACCCCAACATTTGTATACATTTTAAGATTAATCTTTTCCAGTGGCGTTGCCAAGACCAAAAGGGATCATTTTCCTACACTGTATGAGGGATTTGCCATCATTACTGAAGCCGGTGAAGCATAGAATTCTCCTTAGTTTAGTACTTACTAGCTAAATTAAAGTACTTACTAGCTAAATGAAGTGTGTATGCACTCCAAATATTTTAGGTATGATGCATGTTTTATTTCTTTCCTCTTACCAGCTCACTGTCCCTGTACTTGTTGGCATTCATAACAGATTTTTTTTTTTCCCCCCAAGTATTTTGTCCCTATATAGTTATTAGGCGTATTAGTAATTTGGGCTTCCTTGTTTCAGGAAATATGATCTAAAATTGCTTTTAAAGAGGAAGCTAAGAGGAAAGAGAACTAAATCAGCAGGGTTTGTACTTAATAGGACACCTACTACTTTTGCCAATATAAATTAAACTAGAAGGTGCCTGAGATGCACCAAAGCATAATTTGAAGAATATGATTAGTGTATGCATGAATGGTAGGCAGAATGGAAAAAGGGAAACCAAGAAAACTGACATCTGTATCAGTGTGAGTTGAAGTCTGGTCTTGTCTTGTGAAAAGAATAGTCATTAAATTTAAAATGCCTACCCAAAATTGAACACATTTGTTCGCTCTTATTATGAAATGTGAAATTTTCTTCTCCCCACGAATATCAGATTTATGATTTTCTATCTTTTTGATTCATGTTGGAAGCAGATGTCATTGGTACGCTCCCTTAAAATTCTTTTTAATTTAAAAAAGGACAAAGAAAAAAAGGCGCCGGGGGGAAACACCACCAAAAAAAGGCAAAACCCTGAAGGGAGCTAACAGTACATCTGAGTTTAGGCAGTTCTCAAAGATTTCCTTTGCAACAATCTTTTCTTGTTTTCATGCTCACTTTTCTGTGTTTTGCAGAGATGTGATAGTAACATCCAGAATTTGGAAGTTAGGACACTGTGGTTTTTACTGCCCTAAGAGATTTTTACTGTTCAATAGCATAAAGCTTTTCATAGATAAGGGAAAGTATGACTTTAAAGAATACGTTACCATAGCAGTGTTTACTTGGTCTCTGCATTTGCCCTGCTCTCTGAATGGGGAGTTTTGTAGTGGATGAGAGGGGAGTTTTGTACTGGATGAGAGGAGCCATGCAGTCTCGGACAGGAGCCCAAAGAAGCAGTGTTGAATTCAGAAGATGAAAGGCTGAGCACTTTGCATTCTCCATGTTACCTAAGCCTGTCCAGATGAATTTGGGAAGGAAACCATGCGAGAATAATTTAGGTGTCTTCTCCCTTGTTCATTTCACCTGTGACGATGTCAGTGGAGAAATGGGTTTGTCCATACCAAACAAACATCCCATAATCAAACATCCTTTACCAGCTGATAGGGATCTCCTCATATAATATGGAAGCACATTATAGATGTTAGGGCTGTAAGCATCCCAAATAATCTTGACTGTGATACAGGCTCTGTTGCCCTGCAGCCAGGACTTCAGGATCACTTGTATTTTCTAGGCTTTGTGTGCCTGTTGATGCCTCATTAATTACAAATCATTGTGGGATGGTTCCATTGCCTGTGTGTGCAAAAAAAAAAAAAAAGTTTTTTTACTAAATGGACAGGGAAAATATCTGAGTGAAGATAACATCTTAATCTGTTTTCTGCATCTGAACTTACCTAAGGAGTTTGCTGAACTGACACACCATAAACAATTTTCATTCTACAAAATTTCAAATCAAAATGAACTGCAGTGGAGTCAAAAATTGCATCTGCTTCCCATGCTGTCTCTCAGTTTTAATATAATACCCTACTTGCTACACTGAACTTGCTGTTCTCTTTGGTAAAACTAAACCGAAGCCCTTTCTTCTCCAGTAATGGTATCTTCATCCCAAATATGAAAGATACACAGAGCTGCATTTAAATGCATTCTGGATTTAGTGAAGCATCTGTAGTCTTTAAAAGCATTAGCCCGCTATGCACTTTGTTACGTAAACATTTTACAGAGGTAGATTACCAAACAACCTTACCTTTTGATATCTTTTCCTGATGAGTAAAATGGTGCTAAAAATTCTAATTTATGTCATTTGTGATACTGAAGGAATTTCTGATGCAGTAGTCTCATCACTGTCATTGCAACTAGTGAGAGTCCTTTAAATAATAAATACAAAGTCATAGATTCTATGGGTTGAAGTGATATACACACAGCTATCTTCTAAGTAGGAAGTACAGAAACACTTAGAAAGATTTAGAATCTTTTTTGCTAGATACCACTGCTTAAAATAGGACTATTCCAAAATAGGATTAATTTTGTAGAATGTTGCTTTATTCATTATTCTGCCATATAAAGTTAACCTTTTTTTTTAAAAATAAGTTTTATACTTTAATTCTTTTTTTAAATTGTATGTGGAGGAATTAGTTCAGGTTAGTTTTGTATGGAAGTTGAAGAAAACTGAATGAACAGAACATATTATAATACAATAATTTAATTAAATATCCTAAATATAACATTACGGGCATGACTTTTAAACAGATGAGAGGAAGGAATGCAGTGTAACAGATACCAGCATGTATATTATTTATGTCTTTATATGTATAGCTCCCAGTTAATGCTATTGCACACAGACTGAGGGAAAGATAATGTCAGCATGATAATCCAAGTCTCAAGTATAATCATTTTACAGAGTAAATATATTTATAAATCAGATTTTGAAAATATATTGAACAGCGCTGCTTAATCCGTTCCTGTTGCTTTTTCAACTGAAATCTGGAGCCATGTTCCTGCAGTCAGTTTATGTCTATGTGTCCACATTATGAACCCAGAGGAGTACACTGGGACTGGCTTCCACACAAGCTACAGTAATAACATACTTTTAAATAAAAGTACAATAAGTAAGTAAATAATGAACATGTATTAATTGCAGTGAAGGTTTTCCTGGATACAGAGAGCAATTTAGTTCAGCACTGGTCTTCCCTTATGCAAAAACTTCATTTAATTAGGAGCATGTGTTTGTACAGTTACCAGAGTAATGCAGATAGAATTCATTTGCAGTTTGAGAAATGTCTACCTGTAGTCCTTTGATTGCAAGTGCTATCAGATAAGACTGAAAGCTGTACTATTAGTAGAGAAAAACTCTACAAAAAAAGCCTTTCATCCAGAGTTTTTATTATTGTCCTTTGTCCCAATGTTACCTTTGGTTTTATTCTGTGTATTACTTCAGCAAAAGTTAGTTTCATTCCCATAATCCAAAAGCTGGAATGTGTGTAAAATCTTTGGCCAAATTATGTGTGTATACTGAATAAAAACATATAGATCATTTATCTGCAAATAGAACTACAAAAAGTAATTTCAAGATGAGATCTAAACTTCTGGCAGATCATGTCATATGGTCAGCAGAATTTTTAATAGTTGCCATATTGGCAGCCAAATCCTGTATCCCATGGCAGAGTGTCAAGAAAAGCCTTACCCCAAATGGCTCAGCAACTAGGACATTCCTCTGGAAAGATGGAGCTGGGGGTTTGAACTCCCTCAGGTGAAGGCAGGCATTGAAGCCAGACCTCTCGCTTCCTGAGCTGCTGTCTGACATCTCTGTGTAAGGTAGATGGTGTCAACCACCTCTTATTCTCTTCCAGATATACTTTAAAATGAAAGATGCTCTTCTTCCACATTTTTTGGTATGCCCCGAGCATAGTGCAGTCCATGGAGACTTGATGTGGTTTTGCATGTTAGCTTAATTTAAGCTAACTGTGGGCTGCTACCAGAAGAGATGTTAACCTTCCCTTCACTCTTGCTGTAGATATAATGGTTGTACAGAGGTAAGGTGAGCTGCATTACTTTGCTGATCCACTTGAGAAAAAGTTTTCATTAGGCTAGTTTTAAACATATCAGTAACCTGCTCCAGCACAGCCTGCTTCCACTTGACAGCATGTGGAGGGGGGTGCGATGCAGGGCAGAAGGAGTAGGGTGCTCCTTTCTGTGGTGAGGTGGGGCTAGATTGGTAGGTTCAGACTAAATGAAAGGTGGAACTCCTTAGCTCAGGTTGTTACAGATGCAAAAATTTCACAGGGGCTCAAGGGAAGGCTGAACAAGTTCTTGGAGAATAAATCAATCAATTCATTATTAAATGTGAAGAGCAGCCCCCTTCCCCCTAACACATGCTTGATTCACAAATTGTTGGAGGCTAGGAAATTATTCTTGGAGAGCTACTGTACATGCTTGCTCTTATGATGCTCTTCCCTAAACATCTTCTTGTTCTTTTGTATGGACAATAAGCCAGTTTAGATAGATCTTTAATCTAATCTAGTAAGGCATCCATATGTTCTTACTGCTTGAGTGTTAAGAGGTCACTGTGCCCATAGACACTTACTCCTCATAGTTTTTCCCAGGGTGCATTTAGTCAAGGTAGGACGTACTGATCAAATAACTTGCTGCTTCTGGAAAGAACAGTCCAGCCTCCCTCAGCACTTCTTTTCTTTCCCATTCCTGGTCATATATTCTTGGTGCTTCCCTTGCACTACTTCTAGCATTAATCTAACCCTTTGGTGAGTCGGTTCCATTCATTAAATGCAGTAAATAATGCGTTTGGGCAACTGAATCAAGTCTGAATCCCAAAAAGGTACATTTTTGTGAACAGCCACATTTGCTTACTGTAACAGCACTCACAATTCCATTTACTGCATTGGCTCATAAACAGAAAAGGGAGCTTAGGCACCAAGGTCAAATGCTGAACATCCTGCAGGTGTCTTGCTGCTCAGAATGGCCATTTTGGACAACGCAGTCATAGCAGTAAGTGCTTAAGGAACTTCAAAGCTATGCAGGGGGGGCAGTTGGTGAGGTTTAGATACTTCAAGGGTTGGACATCCACTAGATGAGGAGAGAAAAGGGGGAATATTTGGCTTCAAATTTTGGACTTACTGCTTCATTGCCTTCTTGGATGTAGCCCTAATAAAACTTAAGTGCCCTAGGATGCCCAAGAAAGCTTCTGTTTTCAACTGCTTGTTTTAGGGCAGTAATATGTACAGGTAACTTGTGGGTATTACGTTTATCCCAGCCATTTTGGTTTGTCTACCATCCTTTTTTTTTTTCTTCTTTTAGTTAATGTAAAATCTTTCACCTTTCTCTGGTAGTATCACTAAACCCCATGTGTTTTCCTCCTTCACAGTTGAAAACTTTTGATATGCCATCTTCCTCTTCTATTTTCATTACACCCAGTTCTTCCTTTCTGGAACCAACCAATTAAACCTGTGGAGTTTTGTTGACTAGTTCAGTCTTCCGCTAGTGTAGTTTCTGCTGTATCATTCCTGTCTTTGCATCTCCTTACTGCTTCTTTATTATTATTTATTATTATTCATTATTTTGTAAATTACTTATTTTCCATTGCACAAGACTCTGTGCCTACTCCTATCCTACTCTTTCTCTCCCTGTTAAACATTTTGTATTCTCCTGTAAACTGTCCTCAAAATGTTTTCATCCACACCATCTTTGAAGCTCAGCACTCACCTCCTTGTTGTGCAGGCCTGTCCAAAGCCCACTGAAATCAAGAGGCAGCCCTTTTGTAATTTTACAGCCCTTTGGTTGAGCACCCTCGATCAAACCCATTGATTTCTTTCAGTTTCTTCAAATCCTTCATTAAGCATTCACTTCTTCCATGGAACCTGTCAATGAGAATTGATCCAAGGCAGGTTGGTGTACATTAAAATAGATTGTTCTTGCTTTGAAGTTTCAACAGTAATCTGTGTCTTGTAAACATTAACTGTTTGACATGTGACTGTATGTATTAGATCTTTCTTGGAGGAGAGACATTCTCTTCCAGCTCAGGGCTGAGTAAACTGAAATCTGCAGTAGTATTTATAGAGAAGTAAAGGCTTGTCATCTTTGTGGAAGATTTTTTTTTTTAAATAGTAACAATATTTATAAAAAGAACATTTATAGTAAATAAGACAATGGAAATGTGTCGCCAAGTCCAGACTTTGTAATTAATGTTTGCTGAATGAAACCCATTTTTCCTCCTTACAGTTGGAGGACTTTTAATAACAGCATTGTTTCATGTTGTAAATGAGCATGTTTGTATTTGGCAGCATGGCATGTCCTGCCTTGTAAATACACCAAGCCAAACATGAAGCGCTTTCTCCTAGGAGAAAAAAAATGCATAAAAATTTGTTGTAGCAGACTAGATTGAAAGCTTGCCATGAATGTGAAAAAGAGATTCAGAGGTGAACAGAATATTTAAAGTGTCTGGAGTACTGCTGTGGCAAGAGAATGTTAATCTGACGTTGTCTGGGCACGAGGCAGCCCTCAGAGCCGACACATTCCTTGGGGCCCCGCTGCAAACTGAGCTGCCAGCACAGTGTTTACAGCAAGATGCAGGGCCAGGATGGTCTGTATACATGAACTGTGCCTGCCTGCCATGCAGACAGCACATGCCAAATATATTCTTCTAATTAAAAGCAAAGTTAGTGTTGTATTTAACCTTGAGAGCATTCAACAAGTGGATCATACTAATATATTAGTAAGCACACAGACATATGAAATGTCCATGTACATTGTGACAGTGTTTATATTTATCATGCTTATTTTAATTCCAAAATGTGACGGTAATTTATAAGCAACTGAAATGTCAGCATTTGAAACAGAAATATTTTAATGTGTCTACACCAAAGTAAATAAGGCTGTATACATTTAAAAAAAAAAAATTCACACACACACATGTGTGGACACAGTGTCCATTGTGTTTTAATGACCGCTACTACAAATGAGTACTGTATTCATCATGAAAAGATGGTTTCATCCAAATCTTGTTTGACAGATAGTAGCTGAATTTATGTCTTCTTTTATCATGATTTCACAGACCATAGCAGCATGTTATTTGTCTTCAACTTTTTTTTTCCCCTCCAGATAGTGGTGGTACCAAAGGGGAAAGACTGAGTGCCAAACTAAAAGCTTTGCCGGGAACAAGTGAACCCTATGAAAGTAGTGGCAGTAAAGAAATAGGCAAGTGGGCATTTTATACCTTTTTACTTCCCTGGCCCTCAAAGAGAGAGGAGATGGAAAAAATAAGTTATTGGAAGAGCATGTATAACTGGACAATTAGGAAAACATTTTCCCCATGAAATAAATGTGAAGAATGGCTTTAGCTTCATTGTTCAGAGCTCCCTATAAAGTAATTGTAAATATGAAATGTGGCCCATGTAAATATTTATTACTTTTGATATGTCTGCTGCATCCTTTAGTTAGTTCTTGTGGTTCTGCAGTCAGCAGTTCTTCACTAAGATTGACTTTTCAAAGGGGTTTAAAATCCCAAATCCATGTGGAATGTGGTACTTCCTAAAAGGCCCTTCCTTTAACCAACTCCTCAGTCTTTCTGTTCCATGCACTTTTCCAAAGTCTTTTTGTCACTTAAAGACTGTAATAAAATAAAGAGAAATTTATTTTAAAAAAAGAAGGAAGGAAAAAAAGAGAAGCTTCTATCACTAGCACTCAGGTACTTTGCTCTTGTGCCATGCCTTGCTTCCCAAATGTGGTACCTTGTTCTCCTTCAGTGTTCATATGCTCTTTCTGGTCTGCATTTCAAAGACACCTTATGGATGTGTAATGCTAAAACCCGCTCTTGTGTTTGATTGTGTATGTTTGAAACAAAGCTAAAATTACTTGCAGGTAACTGTTTCAAATGTATTTATTTAAACCCTAGATGCCTCCTATATAGATCCACTTGGCCCACAAGCAGAAAGACCAAAAACTGCTGCAAGAAAAAGAACTGAGGAAGATGACTTTGCTGATGAAGAACTAGGAGAGGATTTGCTTCCAGAATAGCATATGGTCCACTCATAACTTTTTCTCCTTTTAAAAGTTTTAGCAGAAAAACATTCATCCATGATGATCTTTGTAGTGGATTTTGATAAAATATTTGTGAAATACTTTGAATATATGGTATCTTACATTAAAAATGTGGATTTGAAGTTGCAGTGTCTTTCATAATTGATTTTTTTAAAAATAATGCTGAGGTTATTTTACTCATGCATAGAAACTACACAGGTATTCAAACTCATTGCAGACTATACCAAGTGCATAAAGCTTTTGCTTTCAGAAGTGCGTCTGATGATAATAGGAAACACAGCAGTCTCTAAAATTCCACCTTTCAGTGCAAAATACCTTGAAGCAATGTTATAAGGTTGAAATTCCCATACCCCTCATCCAAAGCCAGAACTTACTTAAGGCCTGTGAATTGACTTTCTGAAAATGTTGGATATGACATCAGTCATCTTCAAGGCCCCAATTCAGCAAAGCACTTAATACTGATACAGAAGAAAGCATCTTAATTTTAGTCTATGCTTAGTCTGAGCTATGGCCATTTTGCAGTCTCTTGGCAATCTCCTAGGTATTTTTGCAATTACAAAGATAAGGGTTTTTTTTTTATTTCAAATGGTCAGAGTGGGCAGGATTTCAATCTAGTTTGATGTTCGGAGTTGCTAATTAGATTTCAGCTATTGAATCTTGTGTTGGGGATTGTGGCACTGACTATGCACAGGTAGCTTTCTACAGCCTAGGCTGAGTATGCGCAAAGATGTTAGTTACAGAAACCATCATTTTGCTTATGAACTGAACAAGTTTGATCTGAAGTCATTGAGACATGTTAAATAGGAACATGGGGTTTCCAATTTATATCACTCTTTGGAGATAAAAATACTAGTCAGGTGTTCAGAATTTCCTAATAAATACTTGCAAACCTAGTACACTGGGGTGGCAGGGACTTGTTTTTCAAACATTTGTGTGAGTTTGGTTTAATAGTTAGACTTTTGTTATTACACTTTGAAATGCAAGGATTCAGTCTTCTAAAATTTCCAGTGCTCATTCTCAGTGTTGGTGCTTAGACTGTTTCCCTACGGGTGGCACTGGAAAGTTCTCTTTATATCTTCATGAAATGTTCTTTTCAGGTTTTAAAAACATCTGCCTGGTCTCATAGGACGTCTCTGCAAGTGGTCAGAAATGCTTCTTTAATGGCACAGTTGTAGGAATGTGATCTTGTGTGTTTTATGGTACAGTTAATGAACTGCTTTACATGTAATGTGTTTCTCATGATACTGGTGCAGCACTCAGCCTAGGACCGCAACAGCTTCTGCTTGGTGGTATAAGCAGAGCACATTCAGTGTGGTCTATGGCACATCTTGAGGAGCTCACCAAAGAAAAAAGACACAGTAAGCTCTGGGGCCTGATCCTTCTAGAGGTGCAAAAGAGCGCAAGAAGGAAGCGGATCCCACCTGTCTTATTTCTGCAAGTCTCTCCTGTGCTGCAGTTCTCTCTTAGCAGCAGGACAGAAAGGGAACAAAGATGACCTCTGCTGCAGGTACGGACAGAAAGGGAAAGAATGGATGGCTTATGCGGCTAAAGAACTTGGATACCACACTGCAATGCTAATGTGCCAAGCCAGAGCAGTCTTTGGCTTTTTGACTGTTCACCTCAGCTGAGGGGACCTTCTGTGTCTTTTAGAATGAGAAATACAGAACTACATTGCCTCTTTTGTCTCCACTGAATCCCCAGTTTCACTGCAGGCTTCACCATTTTACTTTTTGCCATTCCTTGACAGTAGTCCAAAGACGGTGCACACCTGTGAACGTGGAGCCTGTGTACTGTTGTCAGCTGGGTCTGTTCTGGGCCCGTTGTAGAGCCGGCATGAGCTTGCTGTCTCTGGCACTGGGCAGCCCTGGCCTCTCTTCACCGAGGCTACCCCTGCAGCCCCACCACTGCCAAAACCTTGGCACTGACACCCAGTACAACACTGTATATTTTTTAACATTTTCAATGAAATGTCAGAAAGACAAAGGAGAGGAGATGGAAAGGCAATCGAGCTGAACAATTCTCAGAGAAGGGCTCGGGCAGATGCCTTAACCTTACGGTCACACTTGGGACCCAGCTTTTTCCCTTGCTCATTCTTCAGTGCTGCCGTATCTATTGCTCTGGACAAGGAATGACATATTCCTGGATGTCATGGTAGTCTTTTTCTGTCAGGCTGACAGTCCTGGAAGATCTGGACCTCCAGGATGCGATGTGCCAGGCAGGAGGGAACGTTTTCAGCTACAGACTGCAGTGGAATGAGGTATCTGACTTAATCACAGTGGGAGAAAGTTTTGGGACCATGGCAGGGAGTACAGATAAACCTGTGAAACAGGGCAAAGGAGCAGACAGGCAAGATACTGTCATGGTCTTCTAACACAAAACCCTTTGAGTAGAGCATCTAATCAAACACTGCAATTGCATGGACGTGTCCATGATAAAGTGGTATGAATCACTAACAATTCGGAATACGGTTTACAGGCAGACTTAGTCCATAGAAACTTCTATGGACATCAGAGAGACTTTGATCAGCAGCAGTCTTAGTTCAGTTTGCCCAGATGCCTAACTATACATTATGTAAAATTCTGTGTTTTACAAATGAAGAATTGCTCTTTTGTTCCAGTCCTGCACAAAATCACAGGAAATTCTGGAACATGTTGTTTCCTATAGCATGAGGATCTGATCATATAATGCTCTGGGTTATGATGTGTTTGCACATTATTTTGCAAGCACAGTTGAGCTTGTTCTGAACTGACAGAAAGCCATGTGATCCAGCTCCAACACTGGAATAAGTCATCCTGGTCACAGTCAAAATGATTTAGCCCACGTTCAACTCCTTCAAAACTATGTTAACTATGGCTGCATCTCTACTAGAACTGCAGTATTTCCAGGGCAGGCCCAGAGCAGAGCAGTAACTATCCACACTGTAAGACTGGTAGCACGCTCCCCGGTACAGTTTTGGCCTGTGACTATTAGCAATCTCCCAGACAATTCCCTTGCATGACCCAAAGGTTAGCCTGGGCCAGGAACCATTCTTCATAGGCAGCTTAGGTGCAGCCTCCTTCTTCCAGCGTGTGAGACGTTCTGTGTGAGGGAACGCAAGATGCGACATCCCACCTGGACTCAAGGCTGGAGAGTGCTCCCTGATAGGGGCTAATATAACTGGAATCCATTCAGGAGAAAGCAGCTGTGTGCATGTCCAAAGTGCTATGTTGCTGGAAGGCCTCAAGCTATTGGTAGATGAACACACCTGCATGATGCCTGCATGCAGCTCAGGTCTTGAAAGAAGTGTGGCCATGCTGGTAGGGTGATGTGTCTAAAATAATTACCTGGGTTATACCTGGGTGATTATTGTGCTATGTTGATGTGATGACCCTGCCCCTGTCCTGGAGCTATCCTGGTTGGCATTTTGCTCAGGTGCAATGTGAGTTGTGTTCTCTGCTGTCATGTAGGATGCCCTCAGTCCTGAGATAGGTCTCAGGAACCACAGCAGTGGAAACACTGCATTAGCTAAATAATTCTACCTTGATCCCAGAAATTCAAGCAGAAACACTTAGTCAGGTTTGGTTGTGCAAAATGGACTCTATCTCCAGAAGCCACACTGCAGGTATGTGCTTCCAGCACCATTTAAGCCCTGATTTTGTGTTTAGCATTTTGGAATTAGTAGATTATTTAAAATTCCTGAATAAAGTTTTGGTAAATGCAATAGGACTGCTATTATATTAGGGTTTTGGGTTTTAGGAAGGCAGCAGTATTAAACCTAGGAAAATGATAATCCTCTCGAGGAACTGACTCATGAGCTGGTTTAGCTTGTATTATCATGAAAAATGTATTGGTCACAATATAAAACAATCTTTGGTTGACCTCTTAGACCTAAGACATTCTGTAAGTCTTCTTCAGGATGTGCTTGATTCAGTTAGGTAGAAAGTTACCTTTCTCTTTACATGTGTGAAAAATGTCTCTTTCTACAGTAGGCTCTCTGGTAATGACCCTATGAGTCACGGTCATTTTACAAAACATACAGGAATTCAGTTTCCTTGGATAAAGGTGGAAAGTAATCACAGCAATTCTATCCCCTGAAACAGACATTTGTCATCTTGAGTCTCTCTAGAGTCTTCTATGTGAATTACTACTTCAGAAGTAGGTGGGGAAAAAAATCCTTTGAGAATAGTCTCTTAGAGCATAGGCTGTGGACACTCTAGCTGGTTACCTTGGTGGCGAGTATCTTGGCAGCATAAATAGCCAAATATAAATTATTACCTGGGTTAGTATTTATTAGTTTCTAAACAAGCCTAAGTCCACAATATCAAAGCATTCTTATTCACGTATTTCATGTTTCACCCTGAATTCCTTTGCTACAGATTGTGTAAGTCATTACTTTTAGAACAAAGTTATTCTAGATTAACATGGGAAACAAGTACTGTACAAAAAAAGGATAAATAGTTCTGCAAGTCTTCTGAAAAAGGTCTGTTTCTCTTCTTGGTTTCTTTGCAAGTGTGGTAGGAGACTGTAAGAAACTAATTTGCTAAGCTTTGATTGCTCTTGATTTCAAAGGCACAGATGCTCAGCTTTTCAGTAGGCTATGGTTAACCTGTTTGCACCTCAGTTTCCACCTTTGCAAAATGAAGACCGTTAAGGATTCTCCACTTTACAAGAAATCAGTTTTGCAAAGCTAAATTGCCTAACAACTGTAAAATATGCTGAGACCCTGCTGTAGAAGATGCTATGCCATGGAAGCTGCAAAGTGGTACTACAGTGCTTACAAATGCAGGGCAGAGGGGATAGGAACACAATCAGCAGTCTGGGTGGGAGGTTATCTGCAAACAGAACGTGAGGGAGAAGGGCATCTTTGGGGAGTGATTTAATTCTCTGTCTGAAGATTTATACCTGCTGGTGATGCCAGCTGAATGTTTGTTCCATACAACAATATGAGTTGTTCAACTTGAAGATCTGTATGATGATTTTTTGAATGTTTTTCATGT